TTATTTCATAATGTAATATATAAATATATCCGGAGAATCTGATTCAAGAAGTCTGAGTTGGATTGCAGAAACCTCAGCCTGCCTGCAAACCCGGTGTTGTGGTAAAGAGCACAGGTCTAGAGGGAGCTTGTGCTGAGCGTGAATTTTGCCTCTGTCTCTTGCATGCTGCGTGATCTTGGACAAGTTGGCTGTTCTGCTCAACAAGAGGTTGGGGACTAACAACCCACAGGCGTGCGCTCTGAAGCCACAGCGTCTGGGCCTGAATTCCATCCCTACCACTACTCCTTGTGCAACCCAAGCCATTTGCTTAGCTTCTCTGTGCATCAGTCCTCTTATCTGAAAGATGGAGTTGCTTCAGAAAACATTTATTTTAAGGATTAAGTCAGTTATGAGTCTAGAGGATTTAGAATAGTAATCAGAGGCTGCTTCAGGAAGTTCATGAAAATGGAATCCAAAGAGAAGTTTATTTTGGTGCAAAACTTTGGAAACCCATGCAAAGGATCTTCAAAAACTTCATGTAAAATGAGTATTATTTTTTTTCATTTTTTTTAACTTTTATTTAATGAATATAAATTTCCAAAGTACAGCTTATGAATTACAATGGCTTCCCTCCCATAATGTCCCTCCCACCCGCTACCCTCCCCTTTCCCACTCCCTCTCCCCTTCCATTCACATCAAGATTCATTTTCAATTCTCTTTATATACAGAATATCAGTTTAGCATACATTAAGTAAAGATTTCAACAGTTTGCTCCCACACAGAAACATAAAGTGAAAAATACTGTTTGAGTACTAGTTATAGCATTAAATCTCAATGTACAGCACACTAAGGACAAAAATCCTACATGAGGAGTAAGTGCACAGTGACTCCTGTTGTTGACTTAACAAATTGACACTCTTGTTTATGGCATCAGTAATCACCCTAGGCACTTGTCATGAGCTGCCAAGGCTATGGAAGCCCCCTGAGTTCACCGACTCTGATCATATTTAGACAAGGCCATGGTCAAAGTGGAAATTCTGTCCTCCCTTCAGAGAAAAGTACCTCCTTCTTTGATGACCTGTTCTTTCCACTGGGATCTCACTCGCGGAGATCTTTCATTTAGGTTTTTTTTGTTTTTGTTTTTTTGTTTGTTTGTTTGTTTGTTTTCCCCCAGAGTGTCTTGGCTTTCCATGCCTGAAATACTCTCATGGGCTTTTCAGCCGGATCCACATGCCTTAAGGGCTGATTCTGAGGCCAGAGTGCTGTTTAGGACATCTGCCATTCTATGGGTCTGCTGTGTATCTCACTTCCCATGTTGGTTCGTTCTCTCCCTTTTTTATTCTATCAGCTAGTATTTGCAAAAACTATGAATTTAAAAATTCTTTTGCACAACACAAAAGTGAACTTATTTCTAATTTCATATTTCACAGGCCTTCTGAAGCACCCTTAGGTGGTGATAGCTGCTACTGATGATGATGTTGGACCTCCCTTGGCAAATAAAACTACAGCACCTCTATCACATGTCTGGTAGAGCAGCATAAAATGAGAACATGCATAACAGTAACACTTTTGAAAAGTGTGTTTAATCATTTATTTGAGAGAGAAGAGAGAGAGAGAGAGAAGTCTTTGATTCACTGGTTCACTCCCCCAAATGCCTGTAACAACCAGAGCTGGGCCAGAGCAAAGTTAGGAACCAGGAACTCCATTGCTAGTGTTCCACAAGGCTTTTTTTGTAGTAATTATTGGGTGCCCATTGCGAGGTAATAAGAGTAGAGAATCCAGCTGTGGTGTTTACGGGTGAGGCCTTTGGGAAGTGACTAGGGTTAGTCATTAAAGTGAACCCCTTGATTGAATTCTGGTGGCTTTATAAGAAAGTGAAGAGAATCCTCCCGACCCTGTGCGTACACACACACACTCACTCACACACACACACAGATCCAAACACATTCCTCATCTCTTGCTAAGTGGTGCTCTGCACCACCCTGGGACTCAACCAGCAAGAAGGTCATCACCAGATAGGGCCACTCAAAGTGGGGCCTCTAGTACTATGAGCCAAATGATGCTGAACTTCTTTGGATCTTTTTTCCCAATTGCACCTTCAGGGACTCTGTAAAATCAAGCGCTAATAAGCTCAAGTAATTATTGCTAACTGTACCCACACTATAGAAGGAGCTACCCGAAACTCGGCAGTGGATGACTTAAGCATAAGCATGTCAGTGCTGTTATAAGTAACTCCATGCATGCAGAATCAGGTGCTCCCGAATCCCTTCAACAGGAAGCAGAGCTAAGACCCTGTGATGTGCCTGCTAACCCTCTGGATGCCTTAGAAAGCCTCTCATCTTCGCTTAGCCTTGGCGCCTGCTTCAAAAAGGATGAGTCTGAACTGGGTATCTTCTGAGCTCCCGTCCTACACTAAAATCCTAGGATTCTCAGAAAACGTTTGGTACCCAAAAATGACAATGGGATTAAAGAGCACATTGAACCGAATCAGCAGTTGTAAAAGTCCAGCGTTTCATTTCTTTAGGCAGGGGAGGAGGAGGCCCGGCGCTTCCTTGTAATGTGAGAGCCAGCCTCTGCCTGCTAGGTTAGTCAAAGGGCCTGGGGCCTAGAGATTACGCTTAATTCCCTCATCCAGAACAGCCTTTTCTGAGGAAGCGCTGACCTGTCACCCTGCCTGGGGGGTTAGCCACCCCTTACCGAGGCCTCCCTGCCTCTGTGTGTCCCTTCAGTTTCATTCTGACCACTGGAAAGATGACAGTGACGAGATGGGTACAGCCAAGGAAGATGAGAACAATGTGAAATGCAGAGATTGGGGGCTTATCAGCCATACAGGACATGGGATAGAAAAAGTCATCAACCTACAGCTCTTATCAAAATCTCTCCTAGGGAACGGTTTTAAAATTCTGTCACCGCTCAAGGAAAAATTATCAGATTATTATAAAGGAATTTCATTCTCTGTGTGTTCTGTACACACAGAATGCACACATTCATGCGAGAGGCTACAGGTTGTTTGCCTTGAGAATTGTCTGCATCACATTCTTTACATAAATGATAGATACATGTAAACTCTCTGCCATCATGATAAGGATGCCCTTGATAGCATTCTCAACTATAGGAAATATATTTCCATGCCATCTTGTTCGTTCCCCCTCCATGATTCTGTTGTACTGGGTATTACTTTACTATTTCCATTAGGAACGCTGAGATGCCACACAAATGAAAGCGACAGTACAAAGCAACAGATTCAAATCCAGGTCACTCTACCTCCAAAGCCATGAGACCCTTTGGTACATCAACACCTTTCAGTTTTTATTCCCTTCTATCTTGGTTAATAAAATAGAAGACCACCACCAACACCACCGGGGAGTATAGTGTTAGGGACAATGTTTCTGGTTCTGTTCTACCAAAGGAATGTGACAAGACCTCTGGTGAACACAGGTGCACAGTGGAGGGAAAGGGCCAGCTGTGGGTTAACAGAATTATCACCTGTAGACCCTCCCAAATGAGACTGATTTCCCACCATTCACTCCTCCTACCTTCCTGTCTTCACTTGTACCTTCAGCTCATTGTCTTCTATAGAGCAATATTTCTCCTGGAATTGTTCAAAACATTCCTAATGAAAAGCAATGTGTTTAAGGAAAGCTAGTTTGAAAATACTCTACTATCGGTTGGCAAATCTATCAGCAGGCTTTATTTGAGAAAGCAGTGTGTGAGGCAGAGTCCTGGGGCCAGGGGCCAAGCTTGGATGGCCTTTGCACCAGCTTCCTATGTAGGAAACTGAGGAGCAGTGGGAATGGCCCGGCTGCACCAACAAGTCACTGGCAGGGGCAGGACAGAGCTCTGGCTCCTGTGATCCAGGCTGAGGGCTCCTTCCTCCCTGCTGCAGTTCACAAATTGCTTGTTGCCAGAGAGAGCCCCACTCATGTACCCTCAGGACTCAGCCAAGGGAAAGGGAAGATGATATCTATTAAAGAACAAAAATAATCCCCACAATTGTATAAAAAATGGAACTCAAGGAGGTTTTTTTAAATTAGTCAGACAACATAAAGGAGATGCACCAGTGTGCCCATAATACTCATGTCAGAGCAATGGATGAGTTCCGCTTATTGATCCTTCTGTATCCTTCCCAAATATTCTGTGATTAATGGAAGAGTTCCCTCTGATCCATGGCTTCAGTTACTTATGATCAATTGTGATCTAAAAATATTACATGGAAAATTCCAGAAAGAATTCATAAAGTTTTGAAATTGCGTGCTGTTCTGAGTAGTGTGAAGAAATCTCAAACCATCCTGCTCCATCCAGGGATATGAATCATCCCTCTGTGCAGTGTCTCCATGCAGTGTATCTTACCAGCCCATTACTAACTTAGTAGTTGCCTCAGTTAATCCATCTGGTGCAGAACCACAGTATTTAATACAAAGCTAAAACATGGGATTAGTAAGGTTGACAAGTCAGTTATGCCAAAGAAAAACATAAAGTGCTTATTTTAAGTGAGAAAATTTTCAATTTAATAAAGAGAGAAAAAATTGTATGTGGAGGTTACTGAGGTCTATAGTACAGCAAGATACTTTGAGAGAGAGAGAGACCATATTCACAAAGCTTTTATTATACTGAATTATTATAATAATTCTATTTTGTCAGTAGTTATTTTTGTTAATGTCTCACTGTGCCCAATTTATAAATTAAATATTTTTGTAGGTATTTATGCATAGGAAAACCACAGTATATGAAAGTTTTGGTGCTATCCATAGGTTCAGGCATCCACTGGAGGTCTTAGAATGTGTCCATCACAGACAAGAGGGGACTACTGTATGTAGTAATTTTTAATCCCCCTGAAGAAATAATAGTGATGAAAGCTAGCAGAAAGTTCTTGTGAGAGCTGAGACTCCCCAGGCAGCCCCATGAGTAGTTTGGAGGGGCAGGCCCCTGCCTTCCACCCAGGAGGCAGAAGGTCGGAATCCCATCCAGCCTGTCTACTCTGTGACGCTGGGGCCAGCCGTGACCTTGTCTAGGACACTTACCCTGATCTGCAAACTACAGAAGCTGAATTCTCTGCGCTCCAAGGTCCTTTCTCCCTCTGGCATCCCTTGGGAATGAAAGGCCTCTTGAAGGGCCCGGTCAGTTCCCTAGAAAGGGCGAGCCACTGTCAGCCTCCAGGCGTTCTGCCCGCTGATCACAGGGACTTCTCACGTGTCCTCCAGGGGTTTGGACGCAGGCCAGCCGGCTATGGAATGCAGTAGTCAGAGGGCTGTCAGAGGAGGGCCACAGGGACAAGGCCATTGTTTGAACTCAGTGGGCTGTAGAGTGAGAAACAGCTCAAGAAGGGAACTGAACCGTTTGAACACAACATTCCTGGGGTCCTTAACAGGCTGGGCCAGAAGCCCCCTGCAGACCACAACTGGGGAGACTTCAGCCCAGCAGGCTCAAGGGCTGAACCTGAGTCCTGTAAGTCCATGATTTCATGTCTGGGGATTAAAAGGAGTTATCAAATAAAATAGTTCTCAGTGCATACAGAGCTCAGGCTTTGATTTCTTCAAAGGAAACTTTCCCAATCCCTACCCAGCACCCCAAGTTAGAGCACACACCCCTCCTCTGTACCCGTCAACATCCTGAGTTTCCCCTTCCCAAAAACTAACTTCCCCGTGCAGAAGTGTCTTATTTTGTGTCTCCCTCATCAGCCTGCACATTCTTCAAGGTGGAGTGGGCTTCATTCACCCAGCACAGCACCTGGTCAGTTTAGGTCAGGAGCCAGCAAACTACAGCCCATGGGCCCTATTTGGCCCCTGCCTGGCATTGGAAATAATGTTTTACTGGTTCACAGCTGTGCCCCTTTGTCTACATATGGTTGGTGACTGCTTTGGTACAGCAGCAGGGTTGATCATTTGCAGCAGGGACTGTTTAGAGCACAAAATCTGAACTTACTCTCAGGAAAGTTTGCCAGTCTCTGGTGTATTAATTTGCTAGGGTTGCCATAGCAATGCATCACAGACAATGCGGTATTAACAACAGGGATTTATTTCCTAATATTTGGAGGACAAGAATCCCAAGATCATAATGTCAGTTGAGTTGGCTTCTTCTCAGGTCTCTCTCCTTGGCTTGTGGATGGCCGTCTTTTCCTGGTCTCCACGTGGTCTGCCTTTTGTACGAGTATGTGTCCTGCTCTCCTCTCCTTACAAAGACATGGGTCATGTAGGGTTACAGCCCACCCTGCTGACCACATTTCTTCTTAATGACCTCTATCTCCAAGTACAGTCACATCATTAGGTACTAAATGTTAACACGTCGGCACATGAATATGGGAGCACGCAGGGCAGCCCATCATACCTGGAACTGCATGCATGTGAGGGGGCTTCAAACAGGTCTTGAAAATGGGAATGATGAAAAAAACCCACACATGCATCTCAAAAATTCTTTGCACCAAAATAAACTTCTCTCTTCATTCCATTGTGCACAAACTTTTTAAGTACTCGTAGATCCTAAGAAACTTTACATGAGCTGAGCCTTCACTCAGCACTGTGCCCAATCAATGTGTTTCCCTCCCCTTTGCCTCCACATTACCCTGAAAAGCTTCCTGAAGGTTCCAATGGCTCATGGTGGCAATTCCCAGACAGGAACTTGAAGGCCTGCTTAAGTTAGTGTCTTTCCGAGGTTCACTCACTGGTTTCTGGAAAAGTCTTTCACACCCTCCCCTGCGTTCTTTCACTGATTGTGGGATTCCTCCTCTACGAGAAAAGCTCTTCCTTCCTCTTGAGTCTGTATTGACAACAGCCATGCAGAAGCTGAAAAGGCATGAAGCCATCATGGAAATGCTACCATGAGGGAGCTGTGCCCAGATGCCACCATAAAGGGTGTGATGTGATTTTCACACATCTTGATAGTGAAATGCCAACCCCCACCCCCAGGAAAGTCAGCCATCAATGCTTCCTCGGATATGTTCAGAGTATAGTCCCAAAGACATATTTCCATTTTTCACTCATTTATTTTAATTGTTTGAAAGGCAGAGAAACAGTGACAGAAAGACACATAGAAAGAAATCTCCCATCGACTTGTTCACCCTCCAAATGGCTGCAACAGCTAGGGCTGAGTCAGACCAAAGCTGGGAGCTAGGAGCCCAATCCCAGTCTCCCTCATGGGTAGCAGAGGCCCAAGTACTTGAATCATTCCCACTGCCTCCCAAGGTGTGCATTAGTGGGAAGGCAGATTCAGGAGTGGAGCCAGGACTCGAACCCAGGCACTCTGATTTGGGGTAAGGGGTACCCAAGCAGCACCTTAGTGACTGGGTCAAATGCCCACCCCACCAAAGTACACATTTCCAAAGCTTGGCTTTGGAAGTTCAGCAGATAGGTGAGGGCAAGAGGCCATAGAGAATCCCAGCAAAAGAGTGCCATGCAGAGGTGGCCACCACAATGGAGCATCTTACTCCATGCGGTCCTTGATTTGCCACCTAAGGGGCACCAGGGCCCAAGGGACTCGCCATGCTTCAAACCCTTATGTCCCACTAGAAAGTGGCCTTAGCCACCTTGTTTAATAGTACCACCCCAGCCTCCCCAGCCCCTGCTCCTGTGAAGATGGAGGCATTGACACAACGCATTCAGCACAGCACCAGCCTCTGGGAGACTCTTGGTGAACAGCAACCCTCTTCCTGTGGCCACCCCGGCTGCCATCTCCAGGCTCACTCCTTGCCCAGAAGTCCCTGTACACAACAAGCCAGGCCTAGCTCAGCTACTCCCTAGACCAGCCATGGGTTCTCCCTCCTCCGTGTCTTTGCACTGACTGCTGCTCCTTTACCTTGGAATGCCCCTAACACATGGCAAATTGCTTTCTGTCTGTCAAAGCCCAACTTGATTGTCAAGACTGTGGAATTATTCTTGACCCTCTCCCGTCCCTGAGCAGAGCCATCCCTTCTTCATCCTATTCCTCCATAGGGCATGGATCTCAAAGGCCTAAGACCTTAGGGGCCAAGCGTTTCTGGGGCACTTTTGTTGATTCAAGCTGTACTTTTCATATCCTAGGAAGCAGTCCTTTCTGCTAGAATAGGATTTCCACGTGGAAGAGCAGTAGGGTTTTTCTATCATAGGCAGTAGGCTCTGGATTAATAAATATTGGTTTTCTTTCTATTTCTAACATGTGATTCTGAGGTAAAAGTAAAAAGGGGGAATTGGAGAGAGACATGGGGTGCTTGACAGGTGCAGTTTGAAAACAATAAAAGTAATCTCCATTTATTGGATGCTCATCTTCCGTCAGGCACGGTGCTTGACACTGGCGTAAATGTGCTTCTGTTTAATCTTCCTGGTAACCCTGTCGACCTGGATCATGATCTCCTGATGAGAGACACACAGCTCACTATTCAGTTGAGTCTTGGGGTCAGTTTGGATTCCATCGTTCCACTAGCTGAGCGGCTTTGGTGTGTCATCTTCCGCTTCGATTTCTTCATCTGTAAAATGAGAATAAAAATAGGACCCAATTTATAACGTTGTGGGGAATAAACAAGAAAATACCCAATGCAGAGCAAGTAAGATGATGCATATAAAATCAAATAGGATGATGCATATAGAAGGCTCAATGCTTAGTAAGAACTCAATACAGATAGCTGCTATTGTTGCTAGTGTTCATTTTTAGGGTGACTGAGATAGACTTGGGTCCAGGGTGCCTGACTGCAGTGGCTTCCTTCAACTGTACCTCAGGAGATAGTTAGCTCAGTCTCCAGTCCTCTTAGAGAAGGCTGAGAGCAGGACAGGAGGGCTCCCAGCACTCCCTAAGCAGCAGAAGATGTGATTCTCCATCCACTCCGTTGGATAGCTTGCACTTCTTTACGATTATCAGTACAGGAAGCTTCCTGCAGTGCTAAATTGTTTCTCCCAGCATTAGCCTGTCTGATAGAATTAAGATCTCAAGGGGGAGATTTTGCTTTTTGTTCAGACCAGTCAATACGCAAGGGGCAGCAAGGTAATGGTGGGTTTATAACAATGGTGATCACGGGACACATTTTACCCAGGAAAGTCTCAGCTTACAACAGCTGTCCCAGTGTGATTAGGAATGTCACTCAATTTGATTTTCAAAAGCATTCTAATTAATTATGAATAAATTTTATAGACCTCTATTTATAAAGAAACAGGAGTGTCTTGTGGTCCCAGAGATCTGGGTTCAAGTCCTGACTCACCAGTTAAAAGCTATGCATTTAGAGTAATTCACTCAACTTTCCTGAATCTCACATTCTCCTTGTATAAAATGTGTTCAATACTATTTTCTTGGGTACCATAAAGATTCCAAATACGAGCCAACTAGGGGGAAGTCCCTGGCCTATGGTCGGTGTTCCACGTAGGTGAATTCTCTCCCCCTGACTCTCCTCCCCCCACCTCCATCACCAACCCTGTTTAAGCGAGAAGAATGTGGATTCTTATTTTGTACTTCTCCAAGTTCCTCTTTTGGTTATAGATAAATTTAATAGTTCAATTCAACACATATGAATGGAAGAGAGCATTTCATATCATGAGTGTATGCAGGCATTTTTGCAAATATCTCTAATATGGGGCAGCTTATTATAGACCCAGGGAGGCAATACAAGAGGCCCCGGGGTTCAGAGAAGGAAGCGGTCATTCATTTCTGGCTGAGTGTTTGGTCTTCCTGACACAAGCACCATTTGGTGGTGTGTGTGTCGGGGGTTGTCTCAAATGTTGGGTAAGACTACAACAGGCTGAGCTCAGGAAGGATATTGTAGGCAAAGGAAATAGCCCTAAGACAGGATAGTATGGAGTGAATTCAAGGAATGGCAGTAATCTAAGATAACTGGAATTTTTGTCAATTTGGAGCAAGCTCCAAAAGGCCTTGAAAACTGAACTAAGCAACAGGGAGCCATTGAAAGTCCCCAAGGCAAAGGCTTGCTCATACCAATACCCAGCTTTAGGAACAGGACTCCGCTGTTGAGTAGAATTGATTACAGGCAATTCAAAGAGTGGCAAGGGGTGGAAAGCCCTGTTAAGAGACTGTTGTACAAGCATTGTTTAGTCAACTTTACACTCAAGAGTTCAGTTCAGCTGGCCCCTTTTGCCTCCTGACCCCACAGAGCCAAAGAAATCAAGTCTCTATAAATAGGATTAGGTACACCAATTTCTCCCACTTCTAACCAACCATCTCAAGAGGGAATTCAGTTGATTTTGTACAATTTCTGTTCACAGAGCTGAACTGATGGCTAAGTAACTGGTCAGGAAAAGCTCTGAAGAGCTCGTATCGCCCTTAACTCTATGATCATATGCTAGATACTATTGTTTCCTGTTTCTTCAAGAAATGATCTCTCATTTTCTAAATTGCTCTATGTCTTTATCTGTCTAGCCCCTGTA